GCTCAGTATTGGGGAGGGGGAATCCAGCCCCTCCCCTGCCACGGCAGAGAGCCGTGACAGGATCGAGAAGTGAGCGAACACCGGTATGTGCTCACTTCCCGATCTACTGAGCCGACCTGTGACAGTCTCATTGTCACAGGTTGGCTAGAACTATGAGGTGAGTGAAAAGCAATCACCTCATAGTTCTCCTTTAAGGCTTTAATTTTTTCTTTAAAGTCCCGTGATGCGTGCATGCGAAAACAAACTTCCCCGTGTGATCAAAAAAAGTGAACTGTGAAACCACAGCACACGAAATAAAGAGTGCACGAGGGTGCTTTTGGTCCTCCCCTGAAGAGGAAGGGCCACGAAACTCTGAACCCACTGGGGCGCAAGGCTCATTACAGGGGCAAGATCAACCCAAGTCCACCTAGAAGAAGCAGGTCCCACAGGTACTAGGTAGGGGCTCTCCCGAAGAGAGACCTAAAGGTGGAGGGAGGTAGAGAAACCCTTAGAGGCCACAGAACCCCCCCCTAACATCAGGGCAGGCCCCGAAGGTACCCACACCCTCTGTCTCTGTGGGATCAAAAGATGCTCAATCGTGCATAAAAGAAGTGTGTAAAATAAATAAGGTGCCAGTGCACAACCCTGGCAGGCTTTCTGGCCAAGGTAAAAAATTGCCCAGTCTGGCCAAAAGGCCTGCCTAAGAGGCGAAGTGCATAAAAAGCATGGAGTGCTGTGACTGAGTGCCAGTGAATCCCAGTGGGGTCCCACTCCCAAGTGATTTTCTGAGAGTCCACCCACCAAGGGGCACAGCAGCACATGACTTAAAGCTTAAGTCAGAGGCAGCAGGAACCTGTAAACAGTCTTCCGTGGCTATAGCAGTTTGTTCGTTTCCCTCTGCCGGCTGTCAGCAATTTACTGGAAGTGATTCGGGCGGCTGTAAAGCTGCTTAATGATTTCTACAGCCTGCAGAAGGTCCAAATCCCCCACCCCACCCTCTCTTATAGTCCAAGCTCCCTGCCCTTCTTGGACCTTCATAGCTGGGTCAGTTGGGAGCCCGGAGAATAGTCAGGGAACATCTGTACACGGATCATCCCTTCAGTGAATGAAGCTGGAAGTGACAAGCTTTTCCTCACCTCCAGTTTCTGTGCTGTCATTCCCCGGCAACTGTGACTAGAGAAGAAGAAAACTGCGCACAATCTGTGCTTGATCAACTTCATTGGAAAGCAGAAGTGACATGAGGGGTCTAACAGATCTTTAATGTCTCCTTAACAAGAGCCTGTCACTTCCACTGTGGTATCACATAGGGGGGTTGTCAGCCACCTATATGATAGCAATAAAGTTAAGTGAAAAAGAGAAAAATAAATTATAAAAATTAAAATGAAATAAAATAAATGTATTCTAGCCTTCTGCTTATAGGCTGGAACAGTGTGCGCGTATTATACCTAGTGCGAGATATAGTTCCAAGTCCTTCAGTCAAGGGAAGATCTTCCACTCCTGGGACTATACATGTCCACCACCGAGGGGATTTGAGGCTGGCACCCTGGATTAAGGGGAGTCTAATGTTTTCACAATTGCAGTTTGAATAAAGATAACATTTTAATGAGGACCTGAAGGTCTCGTGAAGAAGCAGAGTAACGTGACGTTCTGTGAAATGCGTTGAGAATATGTCCCCTGCTACGGGAGGATCGATCTTCTCATTTTTTGTATATATGAATTTGAACTCTAAATGGGCCGAGCAAAAAATGGGTTATCGCTTCTCGGTGTTTTGCCTAAGATGAAGTGTGGTATCTGTTCTCATCAGTGTTCAGGAGATGGAGGTGCCGCCATTCTGGCCTTTTGGTAGGGATTGCTGACTGCAGAGTACCCTGCCTGAGATTATGGGGATCCTAAAGGGTTCTGGCCGCGCGAAGGAAACCCAAAGGAGCAGGGGTTGGGGGCACTTCCCTAGTGTCCAGGATCTAGCAGGGCCCAGTGCCTTCTGATTTGAACGTGACTACCATGCAACACTAAACAAAAGTTTGGGCCGTACATGATCTTTAAGATGCCTCTACAGACCAATGTATAGGATCAGTAGGGACCAGCTTCAGGCTCTGGCCAACCACAAATCCAAGCTGTTCACAGTTTGCCAAACAGGCGAACAATTGGGCCAGTTGGCCAGTTGATGGGCCACACGTCCTCATTGTTTTTTATGTGTCTCCCGTCAGTGTCCTAGCAACCAATGAGGCTGTGCAGGTCGTATAACGCCACTAGGTGCTAGCACACAGGTGTTCATTTTATTTGGACGTCCCCAGCCTCGATTTACGGCTGGGTTTGGCTCATCAATAACGGTCCGGGTGTAGCAGGTAGAGCAGATCTTTCATTTCCTATGTTAAGTGCACACCTACCTGACTGATGAACCAAGGTCAGGGCCAGATTAACGTAGAGGCTACTGGAGCACCAGCTTCAGGACCACCACTGACAATAGGCCTGGCTGCCCCGGATCGCCTTGGTAAGCCCGATGGCAATCTGGTCCTGCCGGGCTGAACACAATAAGGTAGAGGTCCTGGCGCCTCTCTAATCAGGCGTTATTAAGTGGCCACTCCCTAGGGCAATTGAGGAGCGAGCGGCTGCTTAATTAGAGAGCCGCCTCTGCATTTCCCATCTGACCGACAGTACCAGGCCCATGATGCTCTTAGGTCTCGTTCACACCTAGGCGTATTGCATATGCGCGTCTGTCGGGCGGTTTTTTATCCCAATGGAAACGCGCAACAAAACGGCCCAAAGTAGTACCTGTACCTTTTCAGGCGTGGGCCGTTTTGTAGCGCGTTAGGGACGGGCTGAAATACGCCAAGGTGGGAACGAGACCATTGAATACAATGGGATTTATATTTTTGAGCGTTTTGTAGAGCGTTCGTCGAGTGTAGAACGCGCTACAAAACGTTCAGGTGTGGACGAGGGCTAAATCCGGCCTTGCCCAAGGTATTGGATGGATGGCTTGGAAAATGTATAGATGGCTTCACATGTTACAATCTGGTTGCAGAATTCCCCTTTAGATCCTCCAACAACAGTGTAGTCTGAGGACCTGACTGGCCTTGCACTGGTTGAAGGAACTTCTAGGCGAGCACTGACATTAGATAGATCTTACCCAAGACAGATCATAAAGCAATTGATTATAAATTGATAAATGTGATCGTAGCATGTGTGTCCAGATAAAGGCTAGCATATGTAATACTATAGTCTCACTTAATGAATGGTCAGCTTTGCTACAGATTACATACAGCATGAGCAATAAAGATCGAAAACAGCAGAAAATCCATGTTGGCTCCTTTCCTGAAAGATGACAGATTGTGATCAATGACAAATCATCTCTGTGCCATCACATTGGCAGCTTCTATCTTGGCGAATTATAATGCAATACAACAGCGCCATCTGCTGGTTCACCTCGTTCATTGCAGCTTTGAGAGACACAGCTGTTTTTTTTTTTTAAATTACATCTGAGAAACATTTCTAACATGACAATCAGCGATCGTGTATTTTTTGCCAGCAGTCCAGTTATTTCCTTTCCTTCCGTTCATTTTAATTTCCGATTTCTTTTGTAACATTCTTTACCGCAAATAGTGATTTATTTGCTGCCTTTACTTCAGCTGCTGTGTTGCGCCATCTATTGGTTACAATTGAAATCGCAGTCTGAACAGTACAGCGCCATCTATTGGATGAATATATAATTGCAGAATAATAATCAGTACAGCGCCATCTATTGGATGTATATATAATTGCAGATTATCAGTGCAGCGCCATCTATTGGAGGAATATGTAATTGCAGATGAATAATCAGTACAGCGCCATCTATTGGATGAATTTGTTAATGCGGATAGTTAGTACAGCGCCATCTATTGGATGAATATATCATTGCAGATAATTAGTACAGCGCCGTCTATTGGATGAATATTAAATTGCAGATAATCAGTACAGAACCATCTTTTGGATCAATATGATATATCAGATACATAATTAGTACAGCGTCATCTATTGGATGAATTTGGTATTGCAGATGAATAATCAGTACAGCGCCATCTATTGGATAAATATGATATAGCAGATACATAATCAGTGCAGCGCCATCTATTGGATGAATTTGTTATTGCAGATAGTCAGTACAGCGCCATCTATTGGATGTATATATAATTGCAGATAATCAGTACAGCGCCATCTATTGGAGGAATATGATATAGCAATTACATAATCAGTACAGCGTCATCTATTGGATGAATTTGGAATTGCAGATTAATAATCAGTACAGCGCCATCTATTGGATGAATATGATATAGCAGATACATAATCAGTGCAGCGCCATCTATTGGATAAATATGATGTAGCCGATACAAAATTAGTACAGCGTCATCTATTGGATGAATTTGTTATTGCAGATAAATAATCAGTACAGCGCCATCTATTGGATGAATATGTCATTGCAGACAAAAAATCAGCACACCGCCATCTATTGGATAAATATTTAATTACAGATAATCAGTACAGCGCCATCTATTGGAGGAATTCGTTATTGTAGATAAATAAGCAGTACAGCGCCATCTATTGAATCTGTTATTGCAGATGAATAATCAGTAGAGCGCCATCTATTGGATGTATTTGTTATTGCAGCTAAATAATGATCTCAGCGCCATCGGCTTTCTTTGCCTTTCCCAGTGTTGCGTCAGTCACACAAATATATATGAAACTTCACGCCACTTTCCTAGAGCGGCAATATATTCTAACCCCTCATCATGTGTACCCCTTAACTGACATATTCTGGGCTCATTCTATGCTCTGTTATTGACGTGTCGCTGAATGCTTGGTTGGTTCTGAGCACACATTCCCGGCGACAATATTGGAACACTTCCTGGTGCTTCTTGATTGGTTGTGCTTGGTCACCTGGCATTTGCCGAGCCTCGCCTCTCCGTGTAGTGACGTCATTCACTTGGCCTATCGAATGTACGTGCAGAAAGAGCGGCCAATCATCGGTGAAGGGGCGTTTTTAGGAAGCCGGTGTGACCATGGCGGAGGCGCCGAGTTCCTCCGAGGAGACGTTGCTGGAGTGGGAGAGGTGAGCTGTCATGGTTGGTGGTCCTTCAGGGGCGGGGCTTGACCCTGGAATTCAAGCCAATCACCTGCAGACACAACTAAGTCTGCCTTCTGTGCTGTGTGTTCACTCCAGTTTGCTTCCTGCTGTCATTTAAAGGGCAGGGTCGCTTTATGAATGTCTTCTGTTTGTACACAGATCTGTGCCTTCTTCTTAGAGGGTTGAGCTGGGGGTCGGACCAGATATGAGCTGCTTTTGTCCTGGTTGTACATTAAGCATTTATTATTGGGGGCAGGGTGGGGGGTGTTCCTTGCTATAAGTACCATAGTCCATTAAGGGTGAACTCCTCTGTGTAGGGCCGGACTGGGAGCTAGGCCGCATTGGCTTTATTCTGCCACTGGGGGGCAGCACTGAGTTCAAGGTTGCCGCATGTGCAGTGCTCCGCGGGGGCCGTCCTATAGGATCCAAGACCTTCTGCAGAGTGTCACTGGTGCAATCATCTGCATTCCAGAACCCGGCACTACTTGAGTCCCCATCATGGGGATGTATTAGAGATCATTGGTGTGCCCCCATCCTGCTCCAGGCACTCAGGTGCCCCCAACCCCCCGGGGCTCCCAGCCCCCCGGAAATCAGATCCTGGTCCCATCATAGGGTGAAGTAACTCTTCCCGCAGTCATGTGTCCCATCATGTCTGTCCTCAGCTTCCCCTATCCGTTCCCTTCTAGGCAGCAGACGAAACTGAAGGATCAGCTGATCACCAGCGACACGGAGAGCTGGCAGCGGGAGGCGGAGTTCGATGGACTGGAGCGGGTCGGCGGGGTGGACCTGTCCTACATCAAGGGAAACGACACGGTGGCCTGCGCCATGCTTGTGGTGCTGAGCTACCCCAAGATGGAGGTAATGGCGGCTCCCAGGGACCCATCATGGGTGGGCGTGTCAGAATGCGGGTGGGTGTGGCCAGCCAGGTATACACAAAGAAAGGAATACTATTGGTTGCTGGGAGTTTTTTTGTTCCTAGTACTGA